CTTTTTTCAGCTCAAAAAGTGGGCTGAAAAACTAGGCTTATACTTGAGTATATACAGTATACATTTTGGAATTGCAACATTAAAATGGGATTGGAATAGGCTCCTGAGCTCCGTTTTCATTGGCAGAGGGTTGCAGGAGGCCATTGCAGCCGAAAACGGAGTTCAGGAGCCCGTTTTTGCTGGCAAAACACTCAGACCAGTTGTTACACACTCAAGTGTGAAACGTGCATCTTCTAAAAGTTGCTTTGAGTTCCAAACAAATCATGCTGTTTTCTTCGGTTCTTGGACCAAGATTTCAGATGGTATTTTCAGTGTTTCATGTGAGATCACTTTCAGTATGTGTTGCCTATGCCTTGTGATCTTTCTTTTTTAAAAAGAAAATCCATCTAAGCTTATGTGGTAGCTGCGAACATCCATAAGCTATAACAGAACAACAGTTGCTTAAGTCTATGCCTTAAGCCTGAAGAGCCATTGTGTATTTTGCACTATTGTTAGAGACAATCAGGGCTCCACAACTGAGTTATTACAAAAGCTCCTGAGTTGCAAGTTGTAAATGCAAGGACCACTATTATTACAATACTTAAGTTAGTATAGTTAAACTTGCTAATGAGTTGTAAATTGATGGAAATAAATGGATGTAAAAGCTTGAGGCATTGGTTTGTTTTGTCTTTTCCTTATTTAACATTAATGATATGCATGAAAGAATGCAGCAGCCCACAGAAACCCAAAGGAGAACACAAATGTGCCAAGACCAGCAGACCAATTGTTTTTTGCTGGGCTTTAGCTTGTGAGACTGAAAGATCTACTGCTTGCAGTTGGTTCTTATTGGGATTTTTAAAATAAAGTTATTACTTGGTTAATTTTTTTCTGCAGAATGGATGACAGATACTGATGTTTGTAAACCTTGGGTGAAAAATTAGGAAAGGAAAGACTTATTCCAAAATCCGTGGTTTTCTATAGCCAGAATACATGAAACATATTTTTTTTTTTATTCTGTTGAAATGGTTGAATTGCTTCTATATATATTTCACTGGAAAATAATCCGTTTAGAATGTTTTGGGAGAAGGTTTATTGTTCTAAAATCAAAACTAATTATGTTTCCCATTTTATACACCTTTATACATTCTACTAGATGAAACAAACCTTTATGTTGTAAAAAGGAACAATTTCTCAAACTATTTTTTGGATTTCAGCATATTAAAACTTCAATGCATTTAATATGTTTATTAGTCATGAAAGTTCCTCCCAAACTCCTATTGCTTATTTAAACAAATAGATAGCTATCACACTGAAAAAGAAGTGGTGCGGTGGCCTAGAGGTGGAGCTCTTGCCTCATAATCAGGAAGCTGTGAGTTCAATCCTAGGTAGAGGCAGATATTTCTCTCTCCGGGCACAGTGAGAATATATCTGCTGAACAAAACTCCTCATTGGCAACAGGAAGGTCATCCAGCCAGTAAACACTGTGCTAGCTCCATTCAGTTGTTCAGACTCCACCCCGCAAGGAATTATGGAGTCGTTAAAATATGATGATAGTTATCACACTGAAAATAGTATGATAGCTATTTTTAAATCATATGGCCCTTAAATGAGTTTTAAACGTTAGTAATTGTCTTGTAACTAAAAACACTTCAATTTTGACTCTAAAAATAGTACAGTATATATGGAATGGAATGTAGAGTTGAATTGAATTGAATAATCCATTATTGCAGTATGGTATTCAAGCCTATGAAAGAACACAATATTTGAGAATGAGAGCAATATCTGTTGACACATTTATTGTCTTGTAGACTACACTCCTGGATTTGAAGGAACACGCCTCTTCATTGGCATCAGCAGGCTTGAAAAAAGACTCTAGACTGAAAACATTAGACATTGCTTTGGAGCAAAAGAAAGAAGAATGCCTGAAATTTGAATCTCAGCTGAAAAAAGTAAATGTTATATGCATGTCTCGTCATAAATGAAATTGTAATGATGACTTCAACCTTATTTCATTGTATCATTGAGTTCAATGTTATGCAGAATAAGCTGTAAAATTATTACCGCACTTCTGTTGGGAAAGAAGTTCATGCCCATTTTCATATGATATTCAAAATCAGATAACCTGCTGCTTTGTAGCACACATAAGAATTCAAAAAGTTATCAACTAAGTACTAATAAAGTAGAAATAAATCAGTTGAACATACCTATATGTTGAATGAGTGTTGAAAGAGGTGTTGATAATTGAAAGTCTGCAAATCAGAGACTTAAAAAATAGTGGAATAGTGGCCTTTTTTTGGGTTTGGAAAATCACTGTATTTTAAAAAAGAAGGGAAATAGTCCAATTCTGTCCATAACCACAGACTTCCATAACCAGAAATTAGCCAAAAAATGTATCTTAGCTGGAAGGGGAGATGGACACCTGTCTTATACTTACTTACTAACTAACTAACTAACTAACTAACTAACTAACTAACTAACTAACTAACTAACTGTCAATAGTATTTTTGACTCTAGCCAGCCAGTAAAATTTTAAGTCAATCTTAAAGACAGTAACCTCTTGGAGAATGTTTGTGGTCAGATGTGTTTCATCCATTGGTTGTAGTTGTCACATGGCCATGCAGAGTTTATTGGGATTCCCAGGAGACCCATAAAGTATTAGGGTGAAGTTGTCTAGACTAAAATCTGAGTCTCTTAAGATAATCAAACAAAAGCAAAAACTGTCAGCAGCTGGAAAAAAACAAAAATGTAAAAGATGCTCCCATAGAAAATTTTAAAATATTGTAGTATAATTTATAGTAATTATTATTATTTTTAAAAATACTTATTCTGTTGCATCTAGGATAGGTAAAAATATTCAATATAAAAATATGGCTCATATTGGACACTCATACATTAACAAATCTAAAGAATACTTGTGGCTCAGTGGCTAAGACTCTGAGCTTGTCAATCAGAAAGGTCAGCGGTTCGAATCCCCAGCACCACATGAGCTCCCGTTATCCTGTTTCTGCAAAAATAAAACAGGGTCTTATTTTCTTTTGACCCTCAAAATAAGCACATGGCCTTATTTTGGAGGAGGTCTTATTATTTTTGAGGTGCAGGAGGCAGCGAGGGTGGTCACCTCATGGTTGCTGATGTGTTGCAATATTTTCGGGGAGGGTGTATTTTAGCGCATGCGCTCAAAAGCCCAATTGGGCTTATTATCCGCGGAGATCTTATTTTCGGGGAAACAGGGTACTTGTCCCAGCTTCTACCAACCTAGCAGTTCGAAAGCATGTAAAAATGCAAGTAGAAAAATAGGGACCACCTTTGGTGGGAAGGTAACAGTGTTGCGTGCGCCTTCGGCATTTAGTCATGCCGGCCACATGACCACGGAGACGTCTTCAGCCAGCGCTGGGTCTTTGGCTTTGAAACGGAGATGAGCACCGCCCCCTAGATTCGGGAACAACTAGCACATATGTGTGAGGGGAACCTTTACCTTACAACTATAATAAAGATCTCATTTTATGTGAATAATATATGGGATAGGAGTACAGTTTTCATTGTTCAAGAATTAATGTATCTTCATACTGTAAGAAGAACTGGGCTCCATTTTGTATGCAATGGCTCTCCTTAACATTATTCTTTTTCTTTCAGAATAGAATATTTTATAGCATGGATGTGCGAAATAACTCTTAGAACGTTTTTTTTTTTTCAAAAGGCTTATGAAGCAACCATTGAGGCCAGGGCCAATCCAGAGATGAATGATAGATTTCAGCAGTTTGAAAAAGAGGTGGCTCAGTATCGAGAAGAGTCTACCAAGGCTCAAGCTGAAGTTGATCGCCTGCTGGAAATCCTAAAAGAGATGGAAAATGAGAAGAACGATAAAGATAAGAAGATAGCTGAACTGGAAAGGTGAGAAGGGTGTTAAAAGAGTGGGGAAGGAATGGTTCAGATTTATTGAGCTTTTTTTAAAACGCTACGGGCGGGTACACACTTAAAACAATGTTTTCTTAATAGTTGAGAAGTCTGCCATTTTTTGACTATTCTGAAAGATAAATTGAAATTTTGGGTTGAAATAAACTGCATACTTTTTTTCTTTTTTTTTACTAGAGACTTCCTTAATTTACTTACCGTATTTTTCAGGGTATAAGACGCCCCTTTTTTCCTCAAAAAAGAGGCTGGAAATCTGGTGCGTCTTATACATCGAATACAGCATTTTTTTTCCTCCCAAAGCCCCGCCCACTTCATCAAAATGGCTGTCTGTGTATACCCTTATGGAGGCTTTCAGAGAGTTCCTGGGGGCCCAGGAAAACCTACTGTATTTCTCTCTCTCTATCTCTCTAGTTCTCTCTGTCTCTCTCTCTCCATCCCTTTATCTTCCTAGCTAACTACTTTCTCTCCCTACCTACCTAGTGTATTTCTCTCTCGCTCTATCTACCTACTTTTTTTTTTATTTGCCTCTTCAAAACCTTGGTGTGGCTTATACTCCAGTGCGGCTTATACTCCGAAAAATACGGTAATATGGATTTGGTGATATATTTTACTTGTGGGCACAGTTTAAGATTTGGTTGGTTTTACAACTTGACTACTATCTAAGAAACCATCTACCTCCATATGAATCGTTCGGGACATTACGGTTAGCGGCAGAAGTGTTTTAAATACTTTGTTTGCCAGGTACATGGGGAAAGAGCCTTTTCCTACTGTGTCCAAACTGTAAAATGTACAGAGAGCTGCCTTCAATCTCCAGCCCTCTACGACCTCCCTCTTTAACCAAAACTTTCATGTTTGAGCCAGTTTAGTAACGATTTAATCACTTTTATATGAATTTAATTGATTGTTTTATATTTTAATTATTGATATCTTCGGGAACCATATGTGCAGAAAAACAGGATATAAATCCTATAAATACTGACCACAAGCCAGTAAAATTTTGTGGATCAAAGTCATGTCTTAAGGAAATTTCCACTTAATCCTTGAAATGAAATAGCTTCATAAAATTGCTATTTCTTACCTTCTGTATTATTCTTCCATCTTATCTTTCTCATATATATATATAAAACTTGGTACACAGATGACTTACTCTCTGGAAACAAATACTGTAGGGGTCAGGCACCCCTAAAACCCCTCTGGGTGTGTGTTCTGTAAAGATACAGCCTTTTGTGCCTTAAAATGGCTTCTACTGTACTGCCTTAAAATGGCTTCTACTCTACAGCGCAGTGAAGTTGCCCTGGTAACGGCTTCACAGTATTCCACAAGGGGGCTCCCTCTGGTAAGGGGGAAAATCCAATATTAGAAATTACATTTGGTCCGGACACTTTCCCCCTATAAATAAATACCTGGGCAACACCGGGTTATCGGCTAGTTTGATATAATATTTCAATATGACAACAGATTGATCCAGAAATCTAAATGTTACCCTAGCCCTAGACAACAGAAGGCAAGTATATTATAGGGAAAAGCTGTAAATTTAGCATTTACAATTCTCACGTTGAGTTTGGTAGGGAAGTGCAAAGTAAGCATTTTATTAAGAGCATACTAATAACTGAGCACAGCAAATTCTCAGGATTGGATTATCAGCTCAGCTTGGTCTTTGGATGGTACTTATCCTGCTTAGAGTCAGATAGTTTTAAGATGCAGGGGCTTTTCTTCACCTGTTTCCTTGGAAGGCACTTCGCAAGTGAGGGGAAAAAGAATTTTCCCATAGCTGTTTCCCATAAATAATAGAAAATCAATGCGATTATCTCTGATATATCTAACACAGTCAACTTTAAAAACATTAATTTATTATTATTTCTTTTGTAGCATTTTTGCCTAATGAAACAAAAATAAATAAATAAAACCTCCTTGCTCTCAACTTGCTTTTCCATAATCATTTTTCATTGATATTTATGTTGCATTTTTCTTGCTCTCTTTCTCTGGCTCTCGAGTTGATTTATTGTATGGTTCCTTTGGCAATGCCTTTTCCCAATAAGCATATGTCATGCAGTCTATCTTCCTACCAGTGTCTGTCCCTGCATGATAGCCTGTATGTAAGGAAGGGTTGTATGGAAGTTTGTAGGATACAGAATTTTGTTCAAGACTAATTGTTTCTTTTCTGTGAGGTGTACTCATCGACTACAGTTTTTCTTGGGTCTCTTGGGTAATTATTTTGTGTATATTTATTGCATCTTAACAATACAATTTTTATTATACTCTAATGGCATAAAATTACAAGGTCTTCAGAGTGATTTATATTTTTAAATCTCATCCCTTATTCATTTGTAATATTGCTATAAATTTATAGTATTGCTGTGAATAAAATTCCTAATAGCGTTTTCCCATTAATTTTCAATCCATGTATAAATAAGTACAATTGAGGAAACTATTGTAAGAGCATAGTGAAGCATAGAACATTTGCAGTATCCTATTTGTTTGAATCAAGGGAGGGCTTTCTTACTATAAAAAACAAATAAAGATAAAAATAAATAAGGCACCGAAAATGAGAAATGGATGTCTTGAAAATGAAACATAGTTTTCAGGAAATACGAAAAAGTTAGCAAGCTTTCCATTAAATCAGGGGTGTCAAACTCAATTTCATTGAGGGCCAAATCAGGGTTGTGTTTGACCTGGGGGGGCAGGTCATTATCAAAGTGATACATTTGTTGTCTAGCTCATAAATTCATTTGTCATTTCAGGGGTTGTGATAACACAGAATCTGAGAACCCCCTTGTACAATATGAAAATTTCAGAGTTATACATAATACATACCGCTTATGATGCAGTACTTTGGAATATATATGCACACACACTATTATAGCATATATTAGATTGTAAAAATATAAAGTCCACATTTAATGTTGAAACTACAAACATAAAATTCCTGGTTGTTGCAGCCTTTTTGTCATCGGGGCGAATGATTTATCAAATAGATTGTCAGCTGTTTTGCTATGTAATTTAACCTAATGCCATTTCTTGGCAAAGAATAAATTTGACTTTTCACAGTTTTAAAGGAATGGACTTAGAAAGTAGATATATACATTTATATTATGAGCTCTTTTATTATAAGCAAGTAAGTGATACATAAAAAGGAAACATTGACTGATATCTCTGTTTTTAAATTCTTCTTGCTTAGATCGGGTGAAAAAAGATTAAAACCTAAGTATCCCAACTAAACTGATTTCCCATGCTGATTACAACAATACTTCAGGGAAGAATTGGTGATACGAGAGCAGCTTTCCCAGCATAGAGGCCAAAAGATTGTCAGTCCAGTAATAATCTTCAGTTGACAAGGTTTAAGTAAAAGAAACTTGACCCATGCAGGTCAACTTGAGTCAAAGCTGGAATAACATGGTATTTTTCTGTTCTACTAGAATTAAAGTGATACTAATATACAGCTTCTCTAAATCCACAAAAAAATACGAAGCATATCATTGTACACAACTGTGATAGTTCACCCAAAAGAAATGAAAAAGAGTATATAATTTATTCAAAATAACCTTTGTGGTGCCTTAGCAGAATCCATTGAACAAATTAAAAGCAATCAATCATTGCTTTTTTCATGTTTTCAGGAGGTTGTGCTTTATTCTTAAATCCATGGATTAATACCAAATGAGCAAAACAAACATTCAAAATTACCGTTTTGAAAATAAATGAACTAAGATATGTGCATTTTGAATTGTTTAGTTGAAATGATAAAATATCCTAATTTACAGTTTTAATTTAGCTTTGTGTAAAGATAAATTTAATAGCTTCTACCTTTCATTATTATTATATACAGTAATAAAAAACTGGATACAAGTTACATATTTTTCAAGCTTGGAAGAGGTATATCATCTGGACACTATAAAGAATCCCGAATTGCTAGATGCTTGAAGAAGAAAAACTTGAGAATAACATGAAATACAGTATTTCTTCTGAAGTCTAATATTCATATATTACTTAAGATTGTTACTCATTAAATATTCTAGGTTCCCCTGAAGCTTCATGAGCAACATACGAAAGCTCAGTTTCACCTAATCTCTGTCCTCTTATTAAATTTGGCTTCCTCTTTGAGATAATCTTTTCAAATAAATACTAGACTTGACTGAGGAGCAGCCAAAAGAAACTTGGTATTGTCAGGATTTTAACTTTCCCACTAAGATGTCTAAGATAAGAACATTTCCTAAACAGTAAAATCTTAACTTTTCACTGATCCACACAGTGTACTGAGAATTCTTTCAGTGTTACTATTGGGTGGTGAGCCCTGAAATAGTTTTTTATTTATTTAGAATAGTATAGAATAACCGAGTTGGAAGGGACCTTGGAGGTCTTCTAGTCCAACCCCCTGCTTAGACAGGAAACCCTACACCACTTCAGACAAATAGTTATCTAATCTGTCCTTAAAAACTTCCAGGGTTGGAGCATTTAAAACTTCTGGAGGCAAGTTGTTCCACTGATTAATTGTCCTAGGTAATTTTTTTTTATTAAATTATACGCTGCCCATCTCGCTGAAGGTGACTCTTGAATTGCATGTTATGTATGAAAATATGCAATCTAACTAGAAAGCTCTTTCGTTAATTGAGAAACTTTCTGAAATATTGAGATTTGACTGAAAATGTCTTACCTTGCTTTCTGGCTCTGCTTTCTGATGCTATGCTGCTTTTCCGTCACTCTTCTTGATGTGTCAAGTTTGGAGTGTGTATCTCATTAAATCTTTCTCTGACTTTCTCTTTCTCATTCCCTACCCTGGACTTGCTGCTTGCTTCAGCCTCACTTCAAGGTCAGTATGTTCATTTAAAGATTTTATTAGACCGGCATGTCTGAAATTTGTGATGAAGCACTGCAGCTCTTTTTTCTTTTTAAAAAAATCTTAAACTGATTATTTTCTGCATAACAGAGAAAAAATGTGCTTTATTCGTGTATTGGCAGTGTACCTATTACTGTGTTGAGGAGGAGAGGGTGGAACAAGATAATACATTAAGGATTAGCTTCTTCCCTCATCATCTCGCTGACATAGTTTTTATCTCACTCATATTTATTTTTCTTCCTTTCTGATCATGGAGAAGAGAGGCCAATAACAAAACCATTTGCCAGTCATTGCAGCTTTATTATTCAGTTGGATTGCTTATTATCAATTGTTTATTATTAGCTTTTGGTTCTGTAACTTGTACAATTTCATTCCTCATTTCAACAGCTGTCATGCTGCAAACATTGTAACAAACCCACCCTCATCCCCAAGGCTTATAGTTTGCTATGGATTGTGGTATCAGGTCTTTGAAAAAATTATTTGGTTTACCTTAAAAAAGAGTTGTGATTTTTATTTGCTCAAATATTTGGTGTGATCTTCTATCTGAAAGGAATGTTGGTTAATAGCTCTATAAGTGTAATACCACAGTTTAATAAATATTTTCTGAGTCTCCATCTTAGAAAAAGCATGTGGATACAAGAAGAGAAATGCTTTTATGCAGTTAATCATAACTACTCAATCAGTTGGAAAGCACGTGTGGGTAATGATGGATGTTTGCAAAATGACCCTCAAGAATAGAGACTACTGAATATGATGCCACTCACATGTTTCCTCTTTGCAGGTTTCAAGAATGATTGAAAGCGTATTATTAAAATTGTAAAAATATTTGTATAAGCAGGCTTACAATAAAAGCCTGTGTTGAGCTATCGATCAGCCTCCCTCTTGGTATTAACTCCACTTACTCATATATGGGAGAGGATAAAGTTGGGAAGCAAAACTAACAGTAAAACTCCCTGTTTTCATCACATGTAGTGGGAGAAAATTTAAAAATACTGTTGTGGTAATTTCAAGAGCCTGTGTGTGCCATAGAAGTTCCAAACATTTAGCATGTAGCTTTATTAATGCCATATGGAAGATTATGGTAAAATAAGGCTGGCAAATCCCAGTCTTCTGCTATGTAGATTTCTTTTAAGTCAGATCTAAAATACTTTAAAGTAAAAGGCAGCAAAGGAGAATTTTTTTTAATCCAAACAAAACAGCACCTTAATTTTCCTAATTTCTGACTGGATAAGAAGCTAGCAGGAAAGAGACCTAATCACATTTCACTAGCTAAATGTGAACAATACTGAACATATATTTGTTTAAAGGCATGTGCCAGAGGTTTCCACTGAAATATAGTTCCTAGGGAATTGTTTGGTATGTAGTGCATATTGTAAAGGTTCTGCATTTAAAAAAAAACATGATAGTCTTATCTCTGGAAGGAAGAGTTCAGCTGATTATTTATATGTAATTATTTTGCAAAGATAAAATAAATAACTTTTAAAAGTAAATTTCATTTAGAATAAAAAGCCTTTTTGCCTTCCTGTGATACTACTGTGAAAAAAATGAATCATGGAATCAGATTATTTACTATGCAGATAATCCTTGACTTACAACTTATGTCTTGCTAAATGGTTCTATAGATGATTCTCTATTTATAAATAGGATAATTGAGTGCCAAAGTATTGGGACATGGGAGATTTCTTTTTTCTATTAAATATACTATTTTTCCTGGTATTGAAAGAAGTAGATTCTCATTGGAAAGAACTGCATTAGCTGTATTCTACTTCTCGTACTGCTTGATGCTTCTTACTAATACTTTTAATTTTATCTTTAATCTTAAACAATTGATTACAATTATACTTTGCCTTCGGTAGCACTTTATTAAAACCATTATTATTTCGTGTTCCAAGTGTGTTTCATTCTTGGATTTCTAAAATCAGAATTAGCTTTCATAGCTTTGCTACTATATAAATCTTAATAAATAAATGAAATATTTATAATATTTTTAAAGTAACCACATTCTTAAAATAACTGTCCAAGGAAAAACCTCAGTGTAAGAAAAAAAAAGTAAGGGTAAACAGTCATTCAATTTACTTTGGTAAACAGACAAAATTAAGAGTTTTATATCCAGAAGTTTAGATTTTAAACCTTGTAAATCAGGATCTCATTTTACATGTCCCATCATGCAGAATTATAGATAGTTTTACAACCTTTTTGTTTTCCAGTGCTGTAATATTAATATAGTTCAGTGACTTCCTTCACATACGAAATTTTAAGAATGATAGAAGTGGAAATGCTTCTAGATGTCTGTACCTTTGAATTTTATTACAATCCTCTTTAAGGATTAGGTGCAAAATTGTATCCTATCCATGTCTGACCATATTCAATTCTACTTCCTTTTTCTTTCCTGTATAGTTATCTGTATATGAAATTTGTTTTTAAGATTTGAGTTTCCTGGTTTCTGGAAATAAAATCCACCCAACCCAATCTTCTCTAAAAACCCATTTGGGACTTCTTCCTGGCATACATACAACAGGCTAGTTATAGTTTTGTGACTTTTAAAGGAACAAACATTGTTTTTATTGGCATTAGATACCAGGTCTTATAAATGCAATGGGGGGGGGGGAAGAACAGCAACATAAGAAAATGACAAGGACTTGTGGCAAAAGCTGAGAAAGAGAACTCCTGTTCGACTTGCCAAGTTTTCATCTTAATAGTGCCACATTAATATTTGTCCAAAGCATGGTAGCTTTGTAACATTTAAATTTTAGTCTTGGGGATAGCTGAAAAGAAATGGGAGATGGATTTTAATATGTTAACCATAGTACAAAGTAGATATTGTCATAGGTTCATTTTTTTTTGATACGGGGGACACAAGCAGGAAGTTGAGCAGAATTCTGTTTCACTCTTGCAGGGATGTCTTTATTGCTTTGATCTTAACAAAAACGAAGGCTTTTTATCTGTCCTATTGTTCTGACCTAGGCTTCCCAAGAGAATGAAGCAAACTCCTTGTCCCAACAAAAAAAAAAACATTTTATTAAGTTACTGTGAATTCTCCTCATTCACATCCAGCAAAGTCTTTTGAGGGAGGATTTACAGTCACAGACCTTATCTGGCTTGGAGAGATGACAGGCCGATATCTGCAAAACTTGGCACAAACCAATTAAGCGAACTAATTGTCTCCTGCAAACTCCACTCCCCCTTCGCTCCTCTTTTATTTCCCCTGGGAGGGGCCATTCATCGTCCACCTTACTCCCAAGTCCTTACTCCCAAGTCGACCCCTGTTCTTTTAGACGTTCCCTTCGTCTGGCAACTCTGCACATGTGCACACTGGGAACAGACTCCAGCTATTCATCTGCCTCACTGATGTCTGACTCTGAAGGCAGCTGATAACTGGCATACGACTCTGGCCCCCTCTCTGCCTCCAACACAGAGCCCTCATCTGAGCCTTCCCCAGACTCCAGGACTGGCCCATCTTCCTCTCCAACCTCCTCACTGTCCGAATCTGCTGCCAGCTCTGCTGGTGGGTCACAACACCTACTCCTGTGCCTATTTAATTCTTGCTTATCATCTGGCTTTTTTAAAAATCTTATTCACTTATTCACAATTACTTGAGGTATATTTTGTTCCCATTCTGAACTTTAAATATGAAAACACAGGTATATATGAAGTAAGCAGCTACATATTCTCCGCAAAAGCAGTGGTTGCCTCTGTAGATCAAACCTGTGCAATTAGTAGAGGAGAAGGAGACTCATTGATAAATTAAAAATCTTTGCAGGCCACCAAGCAAGGAATACCTGGAAAACCGATGGACTGTTTGGCAGGTAGCAAAGTGATGGCAGTGCTGGAGGAGTTGTTGGCAGTGAGGCTTAGAGCTACTCAGCCGCATGTCTTTTGATGGAAACTGAATGGACCTTTTAAAAATGCTGGCCAGCTTTACGGGCTTCTTGATGGTGCTGCTTGTTGTGTAGGCCTGCTTTAGATGTTGGTGGGCTCCTATCAGTCATTCTCCCCATCTTTTCCCCCTGCATCTCCTCCCAACAGATTACATGCTAATCTGCTTATTACCCCTTGCAAGGTAGTCCAGACAGAAAAGCACAACCAGGAAACACTAGCTCTATTTTTAGGCTGCATCTTGCAAGACTGAAAGTAATTTCTCCCTTCCTTTTTTTCTCCAGAAAAATAGGGAGTCTCCCTTCTGAAACTAGTCCCATGTCCCTTTCTGGAGGCTGAGACATCCCTTACATGCTAGTTGTCTAGTCTGTGGCTCTCTCTCTCTCAAAACTTTCCCAGGCTTTGTTTTTCTATTTTTGCTTTACTCCATAATGGGCTGCTTTTCTTTTTTTCTTAAAAGAAAAAAAAAAGCTGCTCATAGTTGCCTCTTCTTTTCTTTCTGTCAGTCTTATAAAGTTCCAGCTTCTCCTAATGTTCCTTGCCATCTTCTTTTTACTGAGCTTAAGGCTTCTCTGTTCTTTTCCCCCAAAAACCCAAGATGTACTCTCCAAGAACAAAGATATGCCAACATCTCTTGCTTCAGTGAGAAGTCCCCTTTATGACTTCGGTGTGTGTATCTTAAGAGAACAGTCTTTCATGGCGCTTTAGGAAAATGTGTTTAGGTTAATGAAACAAAATGAAGAAGGAAAGAACTTGTTCCTTCTAGAACCATTTAGAGAGGGGGCAAAAATCAGAAGGGGTGAATGGGTTCCTTCACTACGATGCATTCCTGTTGAAAACAATTCAGGAGAGTATGTTCATATCTTCCTGACTTTTCTATCTAACCTTCCTCCCTTGATACTTCTCCCTTTAAAATCTGGTGCCTTGTTTTTATTTCTTCTTCCTTGGAACTATCTATATGTTCATCTCTCAGATTGTTAATCGTTTTTCTGTGATTGCTAGTACAGTGTCTTTCTCCTTCCTTGATAGAAATTCTGCTGTTGAATTTTGCTTTCCTGCTTTGTGCATAAATGACACTTTATAAAGTTACAGAGCTA